GCAATCGCAGGTTACAGTCGCAGCGATTTAAAAATTGCAATCGCAGTTACAATTGCGATTGGAGAATCGCAGTTTTGGTCATTTCTAATACATACCAATGCTTTTTTCTTCCAGTGAATGAATTACCAGTACTTAAGGCTGACGCCATCAAGTACATAATGACGTTTAGATCAGTATTACCGAACGAGGTTGTGGTTTCCACCCTGCCTCAACTCATCAGACACTTGCAGAGCGAAAGCGCAGTCGTTCATACGTACGCGGCTTGCGCCATTGAGAAAATACTAATTATGAAGGACAGCAACAATCAAGCTATGTAAGAACAAAGTTCATAATATAACAGTATAATAGATAATAAGGAATATTTTTGCAGAGTTTCAGGAGGTCATATTCAACCGTTTGCCAAGGATTTGATCAGTCAATTATTGGAGGTTTTAGAGAGACCTGTATCAGAGGAAAATGAATATATTATGAAAGGTAAGTGATTATTTGGTCTTAAATTATACCAAGACAATACAATTGGGGTTTACAAAAGGCATTTTTGTAACACAAGAAAAAATGTACGTTATGAAATTTATAACGTCATATACAGTGTGAGTTAAATGGAGAAAGAATTGCAGTTTTGTGGGGACATAAATATGCGCCTTTCAGATTTTTGAAAAAGTTCATGGCTTACTAGATATTTCGAAAAAAACAAATATCGGCTATTTTAAAAATTGTCTCTAATTCCATTATACTCTATTTTAGACAAAAAGTTTTCAGATAAAAGTTGTATATAATCACATCCTTAATGAGACTGTGTTCTCCGTTTCTTTCTAAAGCCTGTCATTTTTGACACATGACACAAACTTATGTTTTTTTTAATGGAAACCATAGTTGGCCATGGCTTCATAAAAAGCGCCATTTTTTAAGCTTTTCGGCGATATAAGCTATAATATGTTTTTTTTTCGAAAAATTACAGAGTCGTAGCCAATTCTTATCTTTCTTGACTAATTTCACTTAGTTGGTATGGTATTCTTATGGGTTAATTATTACAATTTATAACTTACAAAAAAAAAGAAAAGAAGACAGAATATTTTATGAAACAATTCTTTACAAATTACATTACACAAACTAAAACTTAAAAAAAATAATATCACTACATTCACTTTAAGATATTTTCAAAAAATATACGGCATAAAAAAATCTAAAATGGATAGTTCTCTTTCTGTCCTTGAGTTTAAAAAATTATGATATACATACATAATTTTTAAAATTGATTAGAATTGGCTATAACTCTGTAATTTTTCGAAAAAAAAAAACATAGTTTATATCACTGAAAATCTTAAAAATTGCGCTTTTTATAAAATCATGGCCAACTATGGTTTCCATTAAAAAAAACTGTTTGTGTCATATGTCAAAAAAGACAGACTAGAAAAAAAAAATAGAACACAATCTCATTAAGTATGTGATTATCTACAACTTTTATCTGAAAACTTTTTTGTCTAAAATAGATTATAATACAATTAGGAACAATTTTCAAAATAGCCGAAATTTGTTATTTTTTCGAAATATCTAGTAAGCCATGAACTTTTTCAAAAATCTGAAAGGCGCATATTTATAACCCCACAAAACTGCAATTCTTTCCCCATTTAACCGACTCTCTATCTCCAGTAGTTTTCGAGATACCTATAGAGAACATCGTAGAAAACAACTGAAAATATTTACAATTTATTCAAAAATGTAATAGTAAACTATTATTTTCAGCTTTAATGAGGACATTTTCGACTCTACAAGAACTGGTTATACCCTACTTGGGCGTGGCATTACCGAAACTTACTGAAATACTTAAAGCTGTTACGAAGAACCCATCTCGGCCACATTTCAATCATTACTTGTTTGAAACGTTCTCCCTTTCAGTCAGGTAAGAAAAACATTATTGTAAGTGCAGGTTGGTTAGGTTATAATCTAGAAATGTACACTATTGTTTCCATTAATTGTCACGAAAATTAGATTAAAGATCTCGCCTTGCTATCAGATATTTACATTGGACGTTGAAGTTTTATTAGGTCTTCTATTAAGACGATGTTGGTACCATCAAGATAATTTAGATAGATTTTAAACTCTTTTTGTGAAAAAAGATGTCTTGGTTTATTGGGGTGTAGATATTAATGAGGCAAATTACAGTATTTATAAATATTAAAAATTGTTGATAAACTCTCACGATATCAAGATATTGTATACAGAGAAGACCAGGCTACTAGTAACATAGCAAGTTGCCGGACGAATTTACGTTTACCCGATTAGATAGTCGGCTGGTCAGGCAGTATGCAATTGCAGTTGTGCTTGGACGGGTCGGTCGTGACAGACTAGGAATACGACGCGAGGAGTGCCGAGTATTTATTATTTTCATTTCAAGCGTTTACCTTCACTTAAGGTAACATTTAAAATAAAAATACTTAAATATTTATTATTTAAGTGTGTTTACAAGCCAAAACTAAAAATAAATAAATTCTCTAAACCCAAAAAAAAACTAAAATATTACTCTAAATAAAAAAAAAGTTATTACAAGTGTTCAAAAAGACCACCTTCTTGTGCTAGACAGAAGCCTAGGCGGTCGTAAAATCCCCGTCTGACATTGGCTACATATTAGGGCATAGTTTGGAAAGCCTCTCGTATTTTTACTTGAAGCTCATCCAGATTATTAGTTAGCACTATTATGACCATATAGAATCTATGTATTCGTTTTGGCTATTAAAACACGAATAAATACAAATTCTGAAACATTCTTATCACATATTTACCTATTTTTATTTTATCGCATTTTTTCGCCTGCTTTTTATCCGGCGGATTATTTTTATTCGACCGGTTCTGCCTATGTTACTACTACGGTGGTCCGGTCTGTATACTTTTTTACTTACTTTCTACGTTCAATAGTCTTTGTCATTAAAGTGAAATTAAAGAGGGTTAATTTATTGTCTGTTCTTTTAGAATCGTATGTAAATCTAATCAGGTTGCTGTAAAATCGTTTGAGGACATTTTGTTTCCGATTTTCCAAGGAATCTTGCAACAAGATGTACAAGGTACATGTTACATTGTATATTTTAATTTAAATCATCTTTCAATCTATTTTTTTAGAGTTCATCCCTTACGTCTTCCAAGTATTATCACTGCTATTGGATTACACTCCTTCAGGATCGTTATCTGATGCATACATGCAACTTTTACCATGTTTGTTGGCCCCTGTACTTTGGGAACGACCTGCTAACATCAGCCCGTTAGTACGATTGTTACGGTCGTTGGTAAGCCAGGCGGCCCAACAGATTATTGCTCAGGATAAATTGGTAAGTAATATATGAGAAGCAGCTAAATGCATTTTGTCCATTTTTGAAGATTTTTAACCAAAGGTTGTAAACTATATACACAGAGTCACAATATAATGCCACAAACGACATGGTAAATACATTTTATCCCATTCGAATTAAATGGCGAAAATACCTTAGACTTTGTATGTCCTTTGGAGGTAGGACAAACAAACAGAAGTATGTCCTTGTGTGCTGTGGACATACTACTGTTTGTTTGTCATTGCCAGATAAAGAGTTTTTTTTTGTACAACTTCTCTATTTGATGAATAATACTACTTAAAATAATGAGTGGAACTACGCCTGGGAGCCATGTAGTTTGGGGATACGGACCGTGGTAGCAGAAAAATAAAGAGAAATTTCACGTCTAAATGACAGTCAACAGTTTTTTTCAGTTTTTTTATATATCATCAAAACTAAATTTTTCACCTGTAGGTGTACTATTTTTATGATTTTTTTATCAATTTTTCAAGCATACTAGTTTTTCGGTAAGTTTCTTGCAAAAATCCTGGCAGTTTTTCTTTGTTTGTCAAAAATCGAAAAAATGGACAAAATGCGTCTAGAAAGTCTGACCCTCATATCATTATTCATGCATCTTATAAAGAGGATCTGGGGACATCCTGTATACCTTTTGCATAAAAACCTTTTAATACAAATATTAAGGAAGGAACATATTAAAAAATTTAGATGAAGCGCGATGGGGGCCTAAAATGGCTGAATTAAATTCCGGTTTATCAGTGCCGTGTTAATTTTATTTAAAACTTGTAAAAATATAATGTAGGGTAGACCCAATAATTTGTTGTTTTATTTTACTTTGTTAATAAATATTAGTAGTTATTAAAATTGTTATAAAAATATATATTTTTAATGAAAATAGATAAGTTATACGCTACAGAAGCAGGTATGCCAAATTGTCTTATCTAAATTATTTGACATCTAATCTAATTTTTGACAAGTAGTAAATAAAAGCAAAAATGCAAGAAAAAATATATAATTAGTTAATTTTAAGCGAATTTTATAACTGATCGTTTTGATTGTTTACATTGTATATTGGTTGCGTAATGTTATTTTCTGTAGTACTTTCGATTTCATTCTTCGATTTTCCTTTACTTTCAATACTTTCGATTTATTGATTTTTTATATTTTACGTATTTCATGTTTTGCTCTTAGGGAGTATGTTATTTGGTTTATTGGCAACATTGATTTGCTGTGTTTTCTTACTGCCTTTTTGTCCGGTGTTCATCCATGATTTGCTTCTTCTAGAACGATCCGTCTTTGTGTGCAGACACGCTTTTGGGATCAAGCCTTGTGCTGATATAAGTTCTAGCAAATTCGGTTAAATAATTATTTAGAGTGAATAGTTTTGCCGTTGCACTATTCAAGTGGAGTTTTTCCGATTTTTCCAATTATTTCAACCGTAAGAATTTGAAGAAAGAGTTAATGAATGGCCACATGACATCTCAGGTATGTTTTACGCCATTTTGTATTTTTTTTTGAAGGTAATTTTGAACTTCTTTTTCAGGCGATATAATTTAGTTGGATTTAATTTGGATTTAATTTAATTTAATTACTATTTATTTCTGTTTTCTTTTTGGAGTTTGGTTTTGACCATTTTGTAACATTTGGTTACGTTTATTTGGTATGCTGCCGTTTTCTTGCCAGCCAGTATCCAGTTTCTTCACAATGTGGTTCTGAGCTAACCATCACCTCATCATCTAGCTCATTTGATCCAGAAGACTTTCTGAGACCGACCAGACCGACCACTATGGGGTATTGAAGCCAGCTCACCGTCCGCCGTTTTCAAAATCAGTCACAAAGCAACCATCTGAGTCACCGACCACCGAGATTCTGGAATGTCCTGATAAGTACCCATTTCATTTCATTTTACTGTTTTGAGTTATTTCCGCCGAACAGTCTTATTAATCGTTTATTGAGTTTAATTATTTTTGCGTATTTAAGATAGTTGTAGCTTAACTTCTTTAGACTTTTTACTTGCGGCTCGATCTGTGAACTTACTAGTAAGTGTCGCGAGTACGTATTTTAGTTTCTGAAATTCAGAGCGTTTGTTTTATAACTATTAAACTATTTTGAGATTTATGATATCGATTTAATCGTTTTGAGTTTAGACACTTTTGTTCAAGTTACCACTGCTGTACTGCTGATACCTTTTGAGCTGTACTGTTTTGTAGTTAATTACTTCTCATTATTTGCCTTAGTATAAATGTACTGAGTTATTAAGCTTATTCCAGTATAAGATTTAAATAATTTTATTTGATATATTGGCAGATTTCTATAATTTAATTTGATATATTGACAACTAATTTTCCTGTTTTTGAGCCATACATACAATATTTAGAGTTTTACCTTTTTATCGTGATTGCTGCTGAACCTTCTTTATTAAATGAGTTAAGTGATTCTTATTGTTTTATTTAGTATTTTGTTTCCCACATTCTTTCAGAAACATCACTTTTACTCTTAGGGTCCAGAAAGTGGGTGGCGCTTATTTATATTTAATTTAGACACATTTAGTTATAATCCCCTACTCTCCGTAGAAGCTACCGATTTGGGCATTGACCTGTTTGAGGAGTAACAGTTAAATAATTAAATAATAACTATTAGTTTGTTGCTGTCTCTTTTCTTTATCTTTTGGTTTATCTCACCGTAACATAGTTTTATTTAATTTAACACAGCTATAATATAAATTATAGTTTTTTTTATATCAGTAAATAATTATATAATATTTCTTTTACCCTACCTTTCTTCATTATTGTATCTTATTATCTTATTTTCTTTTCTTTTTTTTTATTATTTTTTTTCTTATGACAACAAGAATAATAATGTAACAAACTACTGGCGTCGAAGAAGGTGTCAGGATGGTCCGGAGTATTGGTCTGTGAAATTTTATAATAAACTGTGTTCTACTCGCAAGACGAGTATCTTTCTTTTAATTTCTCTGGCTAAGTAATGGTCTATTTTTATTATATATTATGTATTACATATTTATTTCATTTTCCTTTGTATCTTGCAAGGCTTAATAACATTGACGATTGTAAACCTTAATGGTAATTTAACATGAATAAAGAATTCTGAATTTGAATTTTGAATTTTACCGTTTTCAAATAAATAAGTCCAAAATAATGGAGTTATTTTACTTTTGAAATTTCCAAAATTAATTTTTGCTTAAATTTTGCATCTTTTCTGGGTTTTTTATTGAACATTTAATCTACCTACTACTATGGTTTTTAACTAAAAATTAAAAATTATTCCATTTTTTTTCAAAAATTTCCAAATTTTCAGAAAAAATTGCGAAAAAACTCATAATCGTGTTTCTGGGGTCGAAATAAACTACCCATAGTACAAAGATTTCCACTTATTTAAGACCCACACTGTATAGAAATGTTTGAGATTATCGTTTTATAATTTTAATTGCTATTATTGGTTTGACAATCAAAAGACTCATTTCATCATTTATTGTTATTATTTTGAAAGCTAAATTTCGCATGAAAAAAAAGGAGGATGACCTTCAAAAAACAATGAGATAGGTACCATCAAAATCATCCTAAAATGAAAAAGAAAAGTTTTGCAGCGCAATTTTTTCTTTTTACAAATATAAATAGAAAAAATAATATTTATTTTATTCATAATAATAGTTATAAAATAACATAGATCTCTCTAAGCAAATGAAAATAAAAAAGAAAACAAAAATGCGGTAAATACTGGTTAAATAAACATTTATTTACGTGTTTTTGCCGCTGAATTCCATACCTTTATTTTTTCAGTAATGCATGGCATTTATATTTTGTTTAACAATGAAAATTGAAGTGTAAATTTTACACTTTTTTTCCCTACTGTTGCCTGTTTTATGAATTTTCATTTTGGCAAAAATGGGAATGTTAAATATTTAATTTTATACTTTAATATATTTCATTCGTCTACTTTATTAGTTATACAGACCGGACCACCGTAGTAGTAACATAGGCAGAACCGGACGAATTAGCGTATACCCGTCCGCCGGATAAAAAGCAGGCGAAAAATGCGATAAAATAAAAATAGGTAGATATGTGATAAGAATGTTTCAGAATTTGTATTTTTATTCGTGTTTTAATAGCCAAAACGAATACATAGATTCTCGCGACAGTTCTCGTGTAAAATTTATTTTTAAGTAAAATAATGGATGTTTACGAAGTTCGTGAGAAAATTCAAATTGTAAGATGGTATTTCCAAAATAGGTTTTATCGGGATATACAAACAATTTTTCCACAAAATTTTGTAAACAGGCCATTTCCATCTTTATCTACTGTATCAAAGAGTTATTAATAACTTTGAAACACATGGGTTTCCCACAAAAACACAAAAAGCCTGATGTGTTGATTAATGAAGAACAGTAGTTAAAGCAAATGTTGATTTGTGCTACCGCGGATCAAAATCCCACGTTTTCAAGTAATCAAATTGCTGAGGTGGTTGTCCTGCCCACAATGCCCGTATTGTTGACGAATATTTGAACAATACTTTTCTCAACCGTTTAATTAGTGGACATGGAACTATTTTGTGGCCCGCTAGATCACCAGATCTTTCTCCCAATGACTTATTTTTGTGGGGTTATGTAAAATCCAAAGTGTATGGTCATAATAGGGCTAATAATCTGGATGAGCTTCAAGTAAAAATACGAGAGGCTTTCAAACTATTAGCCTTATAATATGTTAGCCAATGTCAGACGGGGATTTTACGACCGCCTAGGCTTCTGTCTAGCACAAGAATGGTCTTTTTGAACACTTGTTATAACTTTTTTTTTATTTAGAGTAATATTATAGTTTTTTTTTGGGGGTTTAGAGAATTTATTTATTTTTAATTTTGGCTTGTAAACACACTCAAATAATAAATATGTAAGTATTTTCATTTTAAATGTTACCTTAAGTGAAGGTAAACACTTAAAATGAAAATAATAAATACTCGGCACTCCTCGAGTTCCTAGTCTGTCATGACCGACCCGCCCAAGCACAAATGCCACTGCGTACTGCCTGACCACCCGACTAGCCGACAGTGAATCTCGAGTACGAACGCAAAACGGGTAAACGTAAATTCGTCCGGCAACTTCCTATGTTACTAGTAGCCTGGTCTTCTCTGTATGTGTTTTATTGATTTAGAAAAAGCGTTCGACGGTGTGCGGCTGAGAGACGTTGTACACCTTCTTTCCAATAGGCAAATCCATAGAAAACATATATGAAGCGAGCCAACTAAAAAACATATGATGACGATAAAGCGAAAACTATTAGAGACCACCGAAATGAGAGTACTACGCAGAATAGCTGGAAAGACGCTTCTGGACAGGGAGAAAAATGAAAGCAGAAGAAGAGCATGCGAAGTGGAAAATGTAAATGAGTGGGTACTCAGCAGAAAGGAAGAATGGAACGAGCATATCAGCAGAATGGACAAAAGAAGGTTAATGAGAGTTGCACGCAACAAATCACCGCTAGATCGCAGAAGCTTACGATGTCCACGAAAACGATGGAGCGACAATTTGTTAGTCTAACCGGTAGAGACAACGAAACCAAACAGGCAATTCGCCTAGTATGAAGAAGGAAGAAGAAGAAGAATGAATCCATGTATTACGAACATAAAAAACATACGGTATTTTTATTGGATAACCTCATACTTGACTGCACCGGGTAAATATACTCTCGGCTCTAGTATACAGGGTGTTTCAAAACAAATGCGAAAAACTTTAGGGGGTGATTCCTTGTCAAAATAAAGGGTAGTTTGCTTCATAAACGTTGGGTCAAAAGTCAACCATTAGGGAGATATCGCGGTACAAAGATGGCGAAAATATAATGTTTTTATTTTTTATCTTGAAAACGAAAAGAGATAGACTAATAAAATTTTATGGAAGCATTACTGTTATGAAAACACACTTTCTGTTAATTTTTTCACTTTTTTAAAATGAGTGGAAGGGGTTGAAATAAACTACCCCTATCATTCTTGTTAACGAAATTTAAAGAAAAATCTTATCAAACACATGCAAAAAAATTAATTTGGATAGTTCAGTTTGTTTAGAAACTTTTTTATCTCTTGTATTTTTTTGATAAAACTCACCGATTT